TGATCTCTAGGGAGCTCTGCCTAGAAATATCTATATTCATTTCTCTCTGCCATAAAAGAAAAAGTTTTCATCATATATGCAATAAAAAGAATCACATTACTCCACAAATTAATAACAGAAACAAAATATGACGAAATTGTGCCATGCAGAATATATCTTAAGATACCAAAGACAAGTGTGTTCTTTTCATTTATTCATATTGACCACACACAAAAAAATCAAAACTTAAAAACAAAAATAAGGTAAAATAAAATTCTGAATAGAGAAAAGGGAACCCATAAGGGCATTAACACAAAGAGTTAGTACTGTCAGATCCCGGCTAAATTCTTGGTCAGTAGACAAACATAAAAGTAAAAACTTTTAACATATTTTAAACAAAACTAATTTAAATCATCTAAAAAAAACCAATTTCGAACAGAACCTCTTTTTTCCCTACAACCTTTTATTTTGTTGTTCTCACTATAAAATAAGAGCTCATTCCAATCCAAAAACCGGTGTCTGCATAACAGAGAGATTTGCCTTTGCAGTTTGGTAAGAATTTGAAATGTTGTTATTAATCCAGTTTATATTCCCAACATACCCTTCGTTACCGTTACCTATTGTTGTTGTCGAGGACAAGGGAACTGCCGTGACCGGGCTTGATGCAGCAGAGTGATTATTATACCCTTCGGACCCGACAAACCCACCACCAAAGTTGTTTTCACCTTCCTGCATCACCGGCATTATAGCAAAACCCGGAGAAGGGTTGTGGAGATCCGACCCAAAGGTTGCTATTGGTCGAATCTCTGCCTTTGGGTTTGCCTGGAATCCAAAAACATTGGACCAGTAGTGATCAGCTGGGTCTGGTTTGATCGGTATACCAGTATGAAAGAAAGTTCCTCCATGTTCATGGACCGGCGTTGCCACATTGAAGGTGAGCGATGATGTGGTTAGAGGCAGAGGATCGGATGGAGATAGATCAATGGCTTTGTCAGCGGTTGCTGTTTCTGGAGGCTGTTTTGGCATAAGTCCACCCACAGGGAGATTACAGGTAGCGATCGATTTGACATCATAGCGACTGATATCAAAGTTGGTGACTGCGTTTAGACCACGGAATTTAATCGCTGCTATATCATAAGCTTCTGCAGCCTCCTCTTGAGTGCCTAAAGTTCAATATCCAATTACTGTGTTACATCATAATTTATAACAAAATTTAAATCAGATTCGTAAAATTATTGAAATGAGACTCACTAAATGTCCCAAGGTAAAGGTCTTTGTTGCCTGCTACTCTTCCTATTCGCGCTTGCCATCGACCATGTTGATGATGTCTACATTATTATAGCAAACTTTTAACCATCAGAACATATCTTACAGACTGATTCATAGAACTAATTGAGTTTATATAATAAAAATCTATTGGTGAAAGTGTAAACGGACCTAGTGACGCCTCTATACATGGAGGCACCCCTAGAGAATCCACTGCTTTTTCTTTAATAAAACAAATAAAGAAGGTTAGAAAATTAGATTTTTATTTTCCAGCAGCAATTAAACATATCTCAAATTAATGTATTACCGTCTTAGAGAAGCAACGAACTCTTGTCGAGTCATGTGTTTCATCTCTTCAAGTTCAGACTCATAATTTGATATCTAGTAATAAAAAAAGTATTTATCAGTAGACTTTTTTCCAAAATGGGTAAAATTTCAGATAAATAATCTTACTACAAAATAAGAGACTAAGGGCATGATTATAGATAGTATATATGATTGCAGTAATATATGAATTTTATAATATTAATTATATTGGGATTGATTAATAGAAAAAGAAAGAGGAAAGCGATAGAGAGAGATGTTAAATACTAAATATGAGTAATATAGGTTCTATATTTAAAAACCCAAAAATGGTTTGGATAAATATAAAAATTTTATAATATTAAAAATCTCTTATATTTATCCTTATTTACCACCCATAATCATGCCCTTAGAAATCCAAAAATGGTTTGGATAAATATAAAAATTTTATAATATTAAAAATCTCTTATATTTACCCTTATTTACCACCCATAATCATGTCATAACTTACGGGGAAATTAGTCGTAGTTGTAGGACCCCAATACTTAAGAGCTGCAAGGTCGTAAGCTCTAGCTGCTTTCTCTTCTTTATCATAACCACCTGAACATAACATATACTATTCTTCAAAACTATATGTATACATGTACAAAATTTAAATTTGAATGATAACGTTCAATAGGGGAATTAAATTGACAAAAAGAAGGGGAAAGAGGAACATAAATGATGATGAAATAAATTGAGAATTTATTGGAAACTCACCTAAATAAACTGCAGAACAATTAAAATGATTACAAGTTTCAGATCGTCCACGGTTGGGTAATGATTTCACGTCACAGAAGCCAAAACACAAAATTAAAAGCGACGTTAGATTTGGGCCGTGACCTCCTCATAAGT